CCTCGGCACCACGTCACCTACCCCTCGATCTGGCCTCGAGCGTTACGACACCTTCGATCCCTTTCGTCAACAGAGTTCTCCCGCTGTAGCGCCCATTTCGATAAACAACAACAGTTTTGGCCTTGGCACCGGCCAGCAGATGGCTGTTCTGAGCAAGTCACCTACCCCAGCCGAACTCTCCGGCAGCAAGGATTCCAAAAATGTGGAAATTGCCGAGGTCATCGTTGGAGCCATTCTAGGTATGTCCATGTCTATGTTGAATCGTCATTTCTGGTATAAAAAATCGATTTCAATGTTCATTTGTACATATGTGTCTTTGGTTCCCATATAATGCGGTAAATAATTTGTTGGACCAGGACCCGGTGGAAGATCATTAGTAGAAATTCAACAAATCAGTGGTGCGAACATCCAAATTTCGAAAAAGGGCATCTTTGCGCCCGGGACCAGAAATCGAATCGTCACGATCACGGGTTCACCGAACGCCATTAACACAGCACAGTACCTCATTGAACAGCGTATCTCCGAGGAGGAGATTAAGAGAGCGCGCACGAACGCGCTCGGTCCACTGCAGTGATACAATGGCAAACAACTAGTTCGTCAACATTTTACAATTCTCATCTCACAGGTACAACAATCCAACTACATGCGCTAAACACCTCACCATCGCTAAAGATAAGTTAAGTTAAGCAATGAGACGAGATCGTAGAATGACAAATTGTGACGTTACCACAACAACACATACATGCATATACCTCGATTATCGAAAACCAACTAAATGAAAAACCAAATCATTGAAAGGCGCGCGCAAAGCAAACACTTCTGATGCAAAGATAATGAAAACAAATTCTATCCAGACACTATAAATGGCATTCTGTGGGATCAAACATAGAAGATTTGATTCTGTTTGCTGACAATACTTACGATTTAAACGAGGAAAGATGGTAATTGAAGAAATATTACGCTATTACGATGACATTTGATTATAATTATATACAAACACGTGCTTTAATCGTTAGTACACAATACATGAGACATGTTTAAAACGCCATTAGTGCAAATGCCATATGCGAAACATCCAGACAAATGTTGAGAATCATTTCATGATAATAAGCGAAGCAAATGCCCATTTCGTCCTCACAAATACTGTGGAAACAGCACGTTGTTGATTCGATTTATATTTATACGAGTTCCACAGTCAGAAAACGTTAAGAAACTCATATTGCCGACGAAGAACAGAACGCTTACCGTATCGCTAAAGTTACAACAATATCGACCTATCCACCGATTATTATTAATAAATTTTACGTTTGTGCAGAGTCCCCCGTATCGTCACACATTAGAATCGCGCTCGCGATTTTTACTTCTCAAAGTTTAGGATCATTTTTACACATACTCATGAAACATACGGCAATGTTTGTGTTTCGCGGTTTGAACGTCGTTTTTTACACTTAGATTACTATCTCAAAATTCATCACATTTTCCCAACTCTGCACGCCAAGCATTATACTATTTTCTTTTTGTTTGTTTTGTAAATATTGTTGTGTAGGTTTTATGAGAGAAAAAAGAAAATATAATGAATTATTTTTTTCCAATTGGTTTTGTTAGCGTTGTTTATTTTGTTTTTAATTGGCGGGTATATTAAGAGAAGTTTACGATCGTGTTATATCGACTACCATTAATTTCTATATATATTTATATATAAAACACGTTATTTTAGTGTCGGAAACTTTATTTATTGCTTTACAACTACTGATTGTACCTGTAACTTATGAACAATTGTCGGCCCCGCAAAACATGAAAATATTCAACAACTAGCTGAAGCTGGTAGTACAATTTAAGTACAAAAGTTAGCGAGTCATGATGTTGAGAATTGCAAACCGGAAGTGACACCGACGAACTGTCGTACAATATATTAATTTACCTGAATATTATTCCTTCAGAGAAAATCATAGATCAATATAATCTATAAAAAAAATTATATGAATATATAAAATATATATATATAAATATATATTATATATGTAAAACTAAATATATATATATTGTTGTTATCGCATGTTGTTATATTGTTAATGTTTGGAAATGGCCGGTAACTTTTTGTGAAACTGAATTATGTCAGATGAATACTAAAGCAGCAGAAGTATATACAATATGATTGCTTGCGATGGTACGCATTATTGAGCTCTGTGCTGGTCACGGACGCTGTTTCATGGAACGTGCAATTATTTATGTCGTCTCCTTCGCGGCGACACTTACGATTTCATTGGCGCAACGCTGATTATAGAAGTTATCTTCTTCTTCTGTCGCATTCCGATTCATCTCTAGGTATAAATAAATAACTTTAATCTAATGTAAATCATTTTATAATCAGCCTTGTCGATGCGTCAATCATAGTCACAACACACACTGAAAAAGAATTCATAACATGATGATTTATATATAATATGAAGCGCCTCCAAACATTGATCGATTCATTTGACTGAGATGACAATTAGAAACGAAATATTGCAAACAAGTGAATATATTATTCGACCTGTCTAAATGTGCGAATACATTTCATAGATCAATTGTAATATTGAGAACGATGAACGAAATTTACGTTTCGAGGGATGTTTACTGAGACGTGTCTGCTTTCCGATTAATAACAAGCTTAAACAAATCTTTATAGACTAAATTCTAAAATTCACTCTTTTTCGAAAGTCTGTCTTGATCACTTTTTGTAACAGTCATTCATAGCATTAAAATTAGAACATACAGAACATTAAAATATTTAATATTGCTGTGATAACAATTTATTATGTGTTTGTGTGGGTGTTTCATTGCATACTTAACTCTGCAGGACAAAACCTATGAAGATTGGTTTTATTTTGCTTGAAACTATGAGAATAAAAACAAAGAGTTGTGAATTTTGCTTGGGAAACACTCACCAGTCACCACACCAGGGTGTAATAATTTCCAAACGCAAGTGACTTTTTCATTCAACAGAAATCTTTAAATAGTCAGAATAATTTAGACGGCAGACGATGAGAATGATGATTATATTCTAGTTACAAGTGAAACTTTTCAGATATATATATTGATAAGGATTATAGACAAAATGTTATTAACGCACCACTTTAATAAAATACCTATTACATTGACATGGAAATTGTTGATTAAATAAATCGATAAATTTAAATCACATTGGCGAATATTACACGTTTAAACATAAAATTACATATAGAACGATATGATGAAGAAAAAAAAACTGTTTTAAAACTAACATTCGATTATTACTATTTAACTATATTATTATTCTACTTTAGATAGACCATAAGCGATTAACTAATTACGAAATGGAAATGAGTCATTCTAGTTATGATTTGTATATTTTTGCGACTTTACGTTACGATTTTATTTTTGATAGCACATGTTATTGTTCGCGTACTGTATATTTAGCGTGTTTTATATTAATTGGTTGAGTAGAATGGATGCGAGTCGATTGTTTGAGAGTGTTTCGTTCAAATTTTTGTGTATTTTGAGCCATTTCATGCGAGAGGAAAGGAGGAGCACTTCGAACGGTCCTACAAAATAGATGTATATTCATTGCGACGGATTCAAACACTAAATTAATAACGACGAGATAGAGAAATTGACTTACGTTGGACGCAAAAACTATGAATAACAATGAAAGAAAAAAACATTCACGTTTCTAAATAGACGAACAGTTGATGATAGCTGAAACTAAGTAACATTAACTACGAGAATATATTATTAATATGTAACGATAGATTATATTTAGATTTTAAAAAGTGGGAATGGTGAAACAACCTTATAGAGCAGGGATTTATAAATATTCAAGGAATTACTAATATGTTTATAAAATAAGAGGAAACTATATATGCGAATTTTGTGTATAATAAAAAGGTCCGATAGGAGGGAAAAACTGCGATAAGTTACCATTGTGTTGCGTGTTCAAATATTTAAGATGAAATCTATTCATGATAAATGAGTATAAAACGTGGCTAAGAGCACTTTGTTATTACGAATAGAAGAAAAAAAACATTAACTATGTTAATTATATTAGATATTATATAAATGATATAAGATACCTACCATACTTTATTGTGATTGTGTCTGAAAAACTTGATGAGCACTCTTGGATTCTTGGGCGGAGAGGGTTGCACAAACGAAACAACTTCGGATTGGCATTGTCATTCGCAGACCTCATTTCTTTTTGCTGCAAAACACATTTACTGATTACTGCTTTCGATTGACGTTTGAGGAATGCTCTGCCGAAGAAGATTCAGACGAGTTTTGGATAGTGATTTCGATCGTAATCTTAGCGTAATTTTGTTTACGACTCTTGCGTTTCGACCGTAGCGTACGCTAAATGGTGGCAGGTGATTACCGACCTGCATATACATCAAATATATAAATATATATTGTTATGACAAATATTGTACCATTGTTTGTAGATCACTAAAAAATTCACTGCATTGTCAAACACATTATATTCAATAAAAATCCATAGTGCCATATCTCTTTGTATTTGTTCATTTCGCAAGCAAAAAAAAAAGCAACGCTCGAACTCTGCATTTCTCATTTGCTTTACATCTGCTCCATACATCCTACAAACAATCGTTACAAGTACTGCAAATATTGTGATAATGTAAAACTAGTGACTTTTGTTGATTACACACGACCTCGATGATCACGATGAGATATTTATTATGTAGTTGTAATTGCGAATTAATTAATACTTTTCTTCCGTCCATGTTTATTAACTCTACTCGATATTGTGTTAATTATGATCATAATAGATTGTTACATTTTGCTATAAGTACAAGTGCGATTCTAAATTACGTGTAAGAATATTCTGAATGTTATTATTGTTGATTTACTGATTTATTTTTTTGTATTATACTTACTTACAATGGTTGAATGAATAAAATGAAATTCTTCAAGATGAGATTAAACTCAATTCAACGTGTGTCGTGTTCAGATAAAACAGGTGCAGATATAAATAAAAACGTTTATTTTATGTAAAAGAACAAAGCATATCATCTACACATTTTTATCAAAAATTTACAACTTTAAGCGGCTAGAATTTGATAAATTTTCTATAAAAAATTACAATAAAATAAAAGCATTGCAATTATTGTCAAAATTTAAAACAAGCAACAAAGAAAAATAACAAAGCCATAAGCGTAAAAAAATAAATCTCAAACGAAACCAAATCCATTGGTAATCAATATTGCGCAAAATAAATTCATTAAAGCAGAAAGAAAAGCAACGCGTTTGTACTATAACTTTAGGTATTCATTATTTGACTTACAAACTATGTATTCATTTATTCTCTTGGAATGTAAACAAAATGGCGACTCGTATAATTTTAAATTATTTTGGCGCCTCCGGCGGACAGTCCGGTTGATTACTGGGATGTGCCGCTCTGAATGCCGGATGATTCTCGAGTTCCCTGTCAATTCGCAGAATTATAGGAAATGGTCGCAGATCGACATGAAATCGACGTGCATTGAATACTTGTGGAATGAGGCAGCAGTCAGCTAAGGTAATTTCATCACCAACACAATATTTTCCTGCACTGGATGACAATAGTTTTTCCACTGCCCTAAAACCTCTTGTGATCCAATGTTGAGCCCATTCATTTTTCTTCTCCTCACCAACATGTATCAATACTATTAAGTTCTGTAGAGGTTGAATTCCAGATGCTATGACTTCACACAACTCCCTAACCTGATGAATTAAGATCATTATTTTAAATTGGTGACATCAATCCTACATGCAACATACTTTGGCTCTTTTAATGACATCATGAGGCATTAGACTTCTCTGTGGTCTGGTCTCTTCAAGATAATGGAGAATATTTAGTGACTCCACCAGAGTGTTGCCATCAATGTGCAAAGCTGGAACCTGCTCCATGGGATTGACATCTCGATACTCATTGCAGTGTTGTTCACCACCAGACTTAATTAGTGAGACAGGTTTTATGTCATATGGAATCTCCTTTAGATTCAGAGCTGGAAATAAATGGCTTATAATAAATCAATTTTCTTTTCAGATTGGCTTCATAATCTCACCAATTCGTACTCTCCATGAACAAGAACTCCTCCAGTACGAGTACAGGACGGGCTGTTGAGGTTAGAATAAAAATACATTTAAAAACAGGATAAAATAATTTTGAAACTTATGTTTTCGATGAGAAAGCCGCTAAAAATTATTAATAATGATTTGTCAACTGTGTGCGTACCTTTCCAATAACTGACATTGCGTAGAAATGGCTTTTCTTGGAGGATCTTCCTTGAGATACTTGTTACTTAATACTTAGACCCGCATTTATCGATTATTTAAGGAGCTAACGGTTCCTTGGAGCGACGCGCAAGGGTAAGATTCGCACTCAGACTGAATGCTGCGAACTGCGATTTGCGATTCGAAGTGCTCTCCCGGTTGGGATGGCTACCGCCACCAGCTTCCACTTTATGCTACTTGTTTATTGCGAGTTTTTTCTTTTCGCTTGTTGAATGTGAGATAATTTTCTTGATAAACTGGTTTGCACCAGTTACACCGTCTACATTGCTAAATCTCAAAATCCTACACCTCGTATGCACGTATGGTAATCAGTTATTTTTGTAATTCAAATTTTTCGCTTAACAGGTTTCAAAAGTTTACGAATACTTCAGGTGTGTATTTTCAAGGTTTTCGAAAGAATGATTGCTAGATAGAAGCTTAATATTCATGTAAACAAGCATATGCTTTATTATATCACAAGTAACCGCTTACAGATAAGAAACAAACTTAATATTAATTTTTTACATACATTTTTATGTTGCTTTTTTAATTTACTACGGCCCTGTCCACTTGTGCCCTTTAAAAAACAGTTTCTCACGCATCGCACCCTTAAAATGAGTGCAACTTGTTCTCCCGTATTCACCCTAATAAGTTGCACAAGTTGAAATGCAATTTTTTGATTGTGCACGAAACAGTTTTGCAACAATATCTATTATGAAACCGCCGCGCTTGGGCGCTTATTTCGTAAAAATACCATTTTATGTATTTATAAATGAATTAATTTATTACTTAAAATATGAATTCGGAATCTTTCCATTAAAATATATAATTATTGGTTAATATTTACTGGTTTTTGCGTAACTTGCAAACAACCCCTTTCTTGGGGATAAAAGCGTTTTTGCCGTCACCCTACAAGAGATAACGAACATTTTCCCTAGTTACAAAACATAGTTTCAACTGCAATGTTTGTAACGATTTCATGCAAATTATTTGCATTCGTTATTTGTTTAAAACCAGTTTGAATTTTAGTAAAAAAATTCTCGTGCACGTTATATACAAAAACAGAGTAATTGCATATATTTGCTATAAAATTGTAAATTGCTGAATTACACAGCTCATATTCAGCTTGAAACTGCACCATTGTACAACAAAAGTGAGCTTGTAAATAGATAACTACACATACGTAATGAGAATAAAGGTTATTTCTTATCTATTAAATATGTAAATTGCGTTAATTGAAGAGAAAATATTGGTTGTCATCGGTAATGTTTTTCGTCTGTATATAAATTGAAATTAGCGCTGAGTACCGACCGCCTGTCAGTTGTCAAAATCTGTTCATACTTTATCTTGCTTTATCATCTATATCGTGCAGTTGTTTTGGTTAAAGCAAGCAAGGACGGAGATAGTCAGTCCATTGTACATTTTCACATAGCGTGCTCGCGTCATCAATTCGGCGTGTTCAAGATAAACCCAAAGGAGATTGATCCCCGCTTGTCTGCTGTGCGTCGAACCGCTCCCTTTTTACTTCATTCCGAAAGTTCAACGACGGTTGTAATCACAGAAAAGTGCCACCGCGTCAGTTAAAATTTCGGCTCCAACATGGAAGGGACGAAACTGGATATTGCTGCGAAAGAAAAGGAACCTTTGTCGCCGTCGGCCACATATAAGCAGATTCCCGAAGACGACATGGAAGGTAAGGTTGCATCAGCTCTTATTCGGTTACTTTAATCTATGATGGCTGAAATTCATGTTTAGGCAAAGCGAAGAACGTTGTGCAGGAGTCAAATGGGCATGAACCCGACGGCGCTGATGAGAAAATGCTCTCCAAGGAGGATACTAAAGTCAGCTCCAATTCCAAGATCAGTTTAACTGAGGTTAAATTTACCACCAATGAGAAGAATGGAGATGCTAAATTGGACATTGGTATGTGCATTCATTCATTACTTTTGATTTGAGCATTGCTGACAGTGAAGTCTGAGTGTTTGTGTCTTGTATGTTGTTTGTGTGTTTTCAACTTTTATTTCTATTATTAGATTTTATTGTCTTATGTTACATGCCATGTTTGGTATTTAGTTATACTAATTTAAGGAAAGAAATACTTCTATTAATTTATTGGTTTAAAACATGTTTTTCCTACATTTTTTTGCTTACATGAGGAAATAGTATACATGCTTTTTGTTTTTGAACTGAGGTTTGACTACTGCTCTTATCTAAATATTATGCAATAAACTTACATCATAATATGCGATAAATCGCGTGGCCTCATCGTTTTTGATAGATTTCAATCAGAAATCGCGTTATTTGTTTCACTATGGAATTAGTAATTTTCAAGCTTTTAATTCATATCTTAACTTAATGCAATATAAGCATTGCTAGGGAGGAAACCGCTTTAATTGGACGTTGCAAGCTAACTGCTTGTTGCCGCCTTTATTAGCTAGCCTTCGACCGACGTGTTTCCTCTTTATTTCATTATCAATGCGTCGATACTTTATTGAGTTTGGAATTACAATTTACAATGCATTGTAACACGATCATAATTCCATTTAAAAGCTTACTAATATGGCTTGGCATGCAGGTTTTTCTTGTCTTTGTTAACCTCACTAGTGTTGCAATGTTCAGTCTTTGGTCAGAGTCTAAAGCAACAGTATGAACATGGATGAAATTGAGCTCCCTGTTCCTGTAAAAAAGATTGAAGAGACTACTAAAAATGGTGTTCCTAATGGTTCATAAAATTTCCTGTGCATTTTATAGTCATTTAGTAATACATTTTATTCAATTTTAGGAGAGGTCAAAGGAGAATTCGTGGGCCTGACCAAGGAAGAGTTGATGAAATGTGCGAATGACCCCTTCTGGGTGCGTCTTCGTTGGTTCCTCTTTATTGTGTTCTGGCTACTATGGGCTGGTATGTTGATCGGCGCTATTATGATCATTGTGGCTGCGCCAAAGTGCACACCACCTCAGCCAAAGACCTGGTGGGAACAAGGTCCACTTCGTAAACTTGACGATATCAAATCTGAGATTACCAATGAACTTGCCTCGACTAATCACGGTTTCATCCTGACACTTCCACATGACACATATGCACCTTTGAACACAACGCCTGGCCTCGAAGCATTTCTTCAGAATAATAAAGATCGTAATATCATTATTGAATTAAATCCGACTGTTTCGGATGTTTGGTTCACTAACTCCGAGGGCAAAACGGACGACTACGTTGATTATTACATCTGGAGAGGTCAAGAAGGTGCTCAAAATGATCCACCCAACAATTGGCTTGCCAAGGCGTCCACCGATGAACTTAAGAAGTCGGCATGGGTATACTCTGAGACACGTAAACAGTTTTACTACGCACCTGAGGGCGCGCCACACCTTAACTTCCGTAATCCTAAAGTTGAGGCCGAGTTTAAGGCAGTACTGAGTCGCTACATTGATGCAGGCGTTGATGGTTTTATGTTGAAAAACGTCCCGGGTCTTTTGGTCGACGAAGCGTTTAAAAATGAGGGCTTAGTAAGTACCCCTGCTAATGTTAACTTAGACGACTACAGGTTCTACACGCATACGAGGACTGAGAATCTTGAGGAAGTTCAGCCGATTGTGCGTCAATGGAGGGATATCATCAAGAACAAAACCAATAACGGTGTGCTGATGCTTAGCGATGAATTGACTTCGCTCAAGCCGTACAAACACAACGGAACATTATTGGTTGACTTGCCTAAGCATAGGAATGCTTTTGATCACGATGAGCTCACGGCGCCGCAACTTGTGAAAGAAATTGAAGGAGCTTCCACTTTCTTGGAGCATAATTGGCCGGCGTGGAATATTGCCCAGTCGTCTTATCCTGATGGAACACTCGAAGTAGTAGCGTACTTACTTAAGGGTTCGCCGATTCTGAACAAAAACTTTGAGGTCACTGAGGATCTGAAGGAAGCCAGAAGTTCACCATCGGTTCTTTTTGGCGTACAGAAGTTATACACAGCAGCGAATGACACCATTTTTGCTTATACAAGGTAAGTTCAATTAAAAACTAATGCTTCTAATTACATACACATTACTAATCATTAATTGCCTTTTCTTACAACTAACGCTTACTAATCTATTGCTTGTGGTCGGTGTGCAGGGCAGGGTAAGAGTATTTACTTGTTTGATGCTGAATATATTTTAAATCGTAATTTTTCAATAATTCTAGGACTTATCCTGGAAATCCTGGTTATTTGGTAGCATTCAATCCGACTGATTACAAGGTCGTTGTTGATTTTGCAAAGGATATACCGGAAATTCCTGAGGAGTTTACAGTGCAGCATTTCACTTCTAACTACAACGAAACTAATGTTGAGTTGGGGTAAGTGTTCAAACATATATTTATTGATTTGCAGTCAATCTTCCAGCAGCTCTAATCGTTCATGTTTTTCAATTCCAGGCTTAAGAAACCGGCGCACGACTTCCCAATTTCACCGAAGTCGGCGATTATTTTGTCCTATGTGCCCAAGGCAGCTGAATAATGATAAAACCATGGAAATGCATTTAAGAGTAAAGCTTTTAGTGTTTCGTATCAACTTCAATTTTGATTCTAAAATTTTCAAGGTAATAAAAGGCAAGCATTGAAATTGTTTCGTTTTATTCAAGAATACATAATGTCTGATATTAAATTATAATAATTGGTTAAATAATTTCGTTCGAGATCGAAGATTCTCATAAAGGAAGTCAAACCTTTTTTTGTGTAAAATATTGGGTGAAAGTATGTAAACAATCTTTTTGTTGGCGTATCTAACTGCTTATCGCAGTGACCGCGTGTTGTCGTCGTTGGCTGTGTGCAGTCCGGTGCACATGCAGTGTGACTCCGGCCATGGAATGAATCGCGCGTGTTCATCGCGACTAGTTTTGTTTCTTTATATCATAATTAAGTAAATCGATTTATATTTAATGTACAGTCGACAGCATATACCAGATTTGGACGTGGGCAGAGGTTTGCTAGTGTGATTGCATGCGTTAAACGTTTACCAACCGTGGAACAATTCAATCGGCAGTTAACATGTGCACGTATGAGGTTTCGTCGGCCGTCGGTGATTGTTCTTTCGCCTGTGGAACTATTTTGAACTTAATATTGGACTAATACTTGTTGGTTCTCAATTAGCAAATGCAAGAGCTACCATGTAAGTAAAAGTAATCGGAAACTTGTAGCCTCTAACGCGGGTTGTGCCAGTTTTCTCCAGCAAAACATGATAATCTTAGCGGAAATATTTGTTTTCATTACGCGTAACACTCATGTACGGTTGCTAAATCTTCTATCTATTATTCGGTAAATCGCTTCGTATTTCATAAATAATTGACAATGTATTGAAAACAATGTATTGATTAACATCTATCATGTATGGTAAACCGTGACTACGGGTATACTTACTCGTAAGACGATCCGTCGGCCGTCTTATTCTTTGATTATCCGACACACTGGTAAGTTTGGAAACTTTATTAAATCATAATTAATTATATTTTTGTCTTAAATCACATGTAACGTGAGTACCGTAATAACTCAAAATTGACGCGTGCCGTCGGATGCGTCTTCGGTTTCGTTGCAGACAGTCAATCATCGATTTTATTTTACATTATTTTTAGTTGTGTGTGTGCGCCGTAGTACTCGTTGCGCTAGGAATTGTAGTTTTTTTATAATAACACGCGAACGCGATATCATAATAAGTTCGGAATAATTTTCCCAGATGCAGATTTTAATTCAGTTTCTCTCTGTTCTGAAATTTATTGCAAGAAAATTCCGTAACGCGAGTTATATTGAAAGTTGTGTGTGTGCGCCGTAGTACTCGTTGCGCTAGGAATTGTAGTTTTTTTAGTGTAACACGCGAACGCGGTGTCACAATAAGTTCGGAATAATTTTTCCAGATGCAGAATTTAATTTTGAATCTCCTGTGTTCAAATTTATTGCGAGAAAATTCCATAACGCGAGTTATATTGAAAGTTGTGTGTGTGCGCCGTAGTACTCGTTGCGCTAGGAATTGTAGTTTTTTTAATGTAACACGCGAACGCGGTGTCACAATAAGTTCGGAATAATTTTTCTGATGCAGAATTTAATTCTGTATCTCCCTGTATTGAAATTTATTGCCAGAAAGTTCCGTAACGCGAGTTATATTGAAAGTTGTGTGAGTGCGCCGTAGTACTCGTTTCGCTAGGAATTGTAGTTTTTTTAGTATAACCCGCAAACGCGGGGTCACAATTAGTTTGGAATAATTATCCCTGATGCGTAATTTAATTCTGTATTTCCCTGTATTGAAGTTAATTGCGTAAAAAAATGGAATTTGGCTGTGTCTCGGGAACTATTGGTGCAATATTTTTGATAATTTTTGTAAAGTTGCGCCGAAATTTGAAATATTATATTTTATTTTATTTAATTTTAATGCAAATCAGAAATGTTCTATTTCAATTCTACACTCTTATCGGGGTTTGTGTATAAACAAGTTATTATATCGGTATAAACGTGCGCAATGCTGCTTCTCACGTTGCGAACGTTGGACCGCTTCAGTCTGTTCTTACCTGCACGTGGCTCGGCATCATTATTTCATTCATTCCGATTACATTACATTTTATTGATTATAAATCAGCATTAATTTCGGCACCGAAAGACAACAGACGTGTGGAGTGTTTTGCAAAGGTTGATTTACGCGTAAAATGATTATAAAACTCGTGTTTACAAGTGCGTGTCGGCTATTGGATTATTTCGATGCTGAGAATTGGAATTAGAAATGTGTATCCTATTCGTAGTTTTAAGTAAGTGTAATTAACGGCTCTCCTTAGCAAAATATTCCGTGAAATTTGTGTGTTAAAATAATACATGTTCATTATACGACAAAACGAATTTAAATAAGTGTGCATCATAGTGCGAGTTCTCACACACGTATTTTTTTCTGTTTCAGTACTATCTTTGATTACCTGATGCACTGGTAAGTTTGTAAACGTTATTACATCATAATTTCATATTTATCTTAAGTCGCATGTAACGTGAGTACCGTAATAAAACAAAATTGATGCGTGTCGTCGGATGCGACTTCGATCTACCCGTAGAGTATGGTCGTGTCAATCATCGGTTTAATAACGTGAAATTTTCCTTGCTTGCATTTTCATTTCATTTCATAAATCTACAGGCTCTTTAACGTATTTTCGTAGTTTGTAAGTAATTATTGAGACTAATATATTTGTAAAAGACGATTTAAATTTCCTTCCGCGTGTGTGCTTGAGTTGCCGTCGGCGGATACATTTTGTCTTGCTTGTGGCGTATCTGGAGAATCCGTCGCAAAGAAAATTTCTAAATTTCTAGCTCTTTATTCTTAAATTAAAATGTAATTGTATTTTCGTTATTTCACCCTCTCTAAGCGTGAATCTAATTCCATGCATGGAAAATTTTGAATTTTCTTATTAAATATGGCGATTTCCTTCTTGTATCACCCTATGTATTAATTTTCCTTGCTCTCTAATGTAAAACTGATTAAATTTGTCGTTTCCGAGTCGTTTTTTATTTAATTTTTATATTTTATTTTTAAATTTTGAAATTTCTTATTTGTAACACCCTGTATGTTTGTTTTTCTAGATTTTCTATTATAAGTTTTCTAAATTTGTTATTACCAGGTGTTTTCTTCTTTGAACTATTGATTTTCTGTTTGTAACACCCTGTATATTTGTTTTCCTTGATTTCCTATAAAAAAACTGTCTATATTTAGTGTTTCCTAATATTTTCCTTCTTGGACTTGGCATTTTCTTTTGTGATGTAGTAATTTCCTTTTTGTAACACCCTGTATATTAGTTTTCCTAACAGCACGAAGAAAATCACCTTTAGTTGTAAGTTTTGAGTGTTCTCTGTTTTAAACTTGGAATTTTCTTTCTAGAACACCCTGTATATATGTTTTCCTTTGTGTCCGTGAAAATTATGTTTTACCTGCCGTTTTTAGTATTTTCCTCTTTGCACTTTGAATTTTCTTTCTGGAACACCCTGTATATTAGTTTCCCTGAACGTCGAGTGAGCGGCGTTTGTAGTGTTGAGAGTATTCGTTTCCATTATCAATCACCTAGAAAATTGGCTATTTACTAATTTTATTATTTCGATAGAACTTTATGAAGTAGTACTTGGCGATATGTGCGCGGCTAAGCAAGTCGTAAGTCCTGTTTAAATATGGCGACATGCATTTTGTTGACTTGTAAAATCTAAACTTGTATTCTATTATTAATAAAGAAATAGTAAGATATATTGACTTCTTTGATTTGTGTGTTCGCCTTCTATCATTTCAGGAACAGGTCTCTAAGAGAGTTCCCTCTCTCAGGGGATGATCCCCTCTATAAAAATTGTTAAGGTAACCTGTATGATTTGTGTACTCCTTCTTTCATTTCAGCAACAGGTCAGAACTTGTAAGAATATTTTTAAGTGTCACCTCTCCTGAGGCGACTTAAAACTTAGAAATATTTTTACAAGACCTTATAAGGATTGTCCTTATAAGGAGTTCCCTCTCTCTGGGGGTGATCCCCCACCATAAAAATTGTTGATATGCCTGATAATTTCGGGGATGAAGCGCAGAGACATCGTAGCTGTAGGATGGGCCGGGAGCAATAGACGCATCGAAGCAGTGAATCTGTGACTGTCATATAACGACACGTGCCAAAAAATTTAAAAATCTGATCATCTTCTGTTCTCTTTCTTCTACACCTCCTCTTTTCTCCACTCTACTCTCTCTGTTCTCCTCCTGCTACCTTCTCCTATTTTCATTACTACTCCTTCATCTATTTCTCTGTTCTCGTTTCTCCACTTACTGTTTTCTTACTTCTCTTATTTTGCCTTCACTTGCATTTCAATTTCTCTTATATTTCGTTGCAATTCATATATGCAACCCAAATTACACCTGATATTTTTATATTTGAGAAAAATGCCTCCTATACCTGAGATTCGATCCGTGTCTGCTAGTATGCCAGCAGGTGTACGTCTCCACTCGACCACCGAGTGTTTTTATCATTAATATTTGATACTTCTATTTATGTTTCTACTTTATTCAACTTTTTAAAAACAACAACACAATCTACAACTATGTTGCACTCGCTCCACGCACTTAAGATTTACATGCAATATGATTTAAGGCGCCAATCCTGAAAACAACAAAGAGGATATCACAAAGAAATATTAGACATATTATAATTTTACATTGAGTTTTATTAGTTACATTTAACAATACATACTAGTAAAAAATATACAAACAAATATATATCGATGGCTATCAAATCACGTGGCAGTAAAGCCTTAAAATACGTGCATCTCCAACACTGCTACATATTGTAAACTCCATGATTCGTGCACTCACAAACTTATTTCCGGGACACCAATATTGTCTATTTGCAGGAATTCATCCTATACCAATGTTATTTTTAGGTGCGAAAAAATAACCGTTAGCCGACGGAATCACACACGCGCACAGGTAAACCGAAAATTATTCTGCGATTGATAAACACTCAACGCTAGTACACTTGTAAAACCTCGATCACGCGAGATTCCGGTATATGCCGCTCAATGTTTAATGAATATCAATTGATTAACTTATTCATGTACTGAAGAGACAAAATTAGTCGTGATGAATACGCGTGATTCATTCGATGGTCAGAATCACATTGCATGTATACCGAACTACACAGCCAACAACAACACGCGGCGACAACATGCGGTCACTATCAGTATTGCGATACACTTGCTAAACACGTATAAAAGGTTGGCATACGAACATCGAGCGGAGATCGATATAATGGCACTTACCAAAATTTGAAGGTATCTAATGGAGTCCAATTCATTAAACAACTCTTTTTCTCGAATCTGCTAAAAACAGAATTGAATAAAATCAAACAATTGCAAGATAAATGTCTTCAAATTATTTAAACCAACCAAATGTGCGAGGAATGTTTTTAGGTGTTAGAAATTCCATCAATTACAAGACTGGAATTAAAGATTTTGTCATAAAAAATGCAAAATATTTCTCGTTTTTATGTGTAAAAGTATTGGAATATTTAAATTCTGATTTTGGATCCCGATAGATAATTCGATTCTACGTAGAGTATTTATGTAATATTTTGTTATAACATTGACTAGTAAGTCCTATTTGCAATCAGGGCCGTCGAGAGCCAGCGCGGACCCCGGGGAAAATCCGCGGGCGCCGGCAATTGTTAGTTTTTCGTAATTTTTTTGTGTTTACGATTTAAGAGCGATTAGACGGACCCTGGGGTAAATTCCCCAATTGACCCCCCCCCCACTCACACGCCCTGCAAGTACGTAGTACGTGATAAATAGAAAACTACTTTATAAACAGCAAATGTAAATTTGACAGAAAAATATAATTGAACTTACCAGTGTACAGCTTATCGGACTGCCAGGCACAACGCTGCTGTAACTAAACGAAAACAAAAATTAAAACAAAAATATTTCATACATTTGAATTATGTTATAATTAACCATCAACACAAAATAAAAAAACAAAACAAAAATCAAAATAAAAAAATTTGTGCTGTTTAGTTAAAAAATACTTACACGAGCCTGATGGATCTTTCTTAATGATAAGAATCAACATGGGGGCGATATATATTATATCCGATTAATTTAGAAACCGCCAAGTGAAAAATGTTATCAAATCCAATTTCACGTGACTTGTAATATATATAACAAACGCGACCAAACACCGGCATTTCCGAAAATTAAACAAATTACTATAGTCGCAAAGTACAAATATATAGTAGCTTGATCTTCGAATATAACACACATTTAGAATATTGAAGTCCAAATAAACGATATACGTCTCTCAAAACACGACTGGATTAACCAGCGACCGGCACGAAACTGGCTGCAATCCACTGATAGTGCATGCCGAAACTGCGTAAACAACGACGGGACAGTATATAATAAGAAAGCAAGAGGTGTGCAAAGAGGTGTCCAAGGCACGCGACCTGGTGCGCAAATGACTCTCTATAAAATAAAACAGTTAAATCGAAAATCTAAGAGATGAAATTTTAATTCACAAGAAAAAATTGCCAAGGGGGGGATGCTTGATAATTTTTATCGACGATTTCCCTATATTTAATATCTCTTAAACTAAAAGATATAACAACCATCGAATAGCTGATTATGAAAGATTGGAAAATTCTGTATCAGATAAAATTATAATATACTTATATTTTTAACAGTAAAAGGTCAAAAAACGCCACTAAAAGTACTAAAAAGTGACATTTTGCAATTTTTGCCCATTTTATTCAATCGCGAATATCTCGTAAACTAAAAGAGATAATTAAGATCTGATCGCAGCGTCTTAATCTACGGACTAATCTCTATCAGATAGGATAGTTAAAAGGGAAATCTGAGAGATGAAATTTGAATTCTTAAGAAAAAATTGCCAAGGGGGGGTGCTTGATACTTTTTTTCGACGATTTTCAAAAATTCATATCTTTTAAACTAAAAGAGATAGCTACCAACGAATTGTTGATTATGAAAGATTGGAAAATTCCCTATCAGATAAAAATATAAAATAATTATATTTCCTACAGAAAAAGGTCGAAAAACGCGACTAAAAGTGCTAAAAAGTGACATTTTGCAATTTTTGCCCATTTTATTCAATCGCGAATATCTCGTAAACTAAAAGAGATAAATAAGATCTGATCGCAGCGTCTTAATCTACGGACCAATCTCTATCAGATAGGATAGTTAAAAGGGAAATCTGAGAGAAAAAATTTTAAGTCTTAAGAAAAAATTGCCAAGGGGGGGTGCTTGATACTTTTTTTCGACGATTTTCAAAAATTCATATCTCTTAAACTAAAAGAGATAGCTACCAACGAATTGTTGATTATGAAAGATTGGAAGATTCTCTATCAGATAAAAATATAAAATAATTATATTTCCTACAGTAAAAGGTCGAAAAACGCGACTAAAAGTGCTAAAAGTGACATTTTGCAATTTTGCCCATTTTATTCAATCGCGAATATCTCGTAAACTAAAAGAGATAATTAAGATCTGATCGCAGCGTCTTAATCTACGGACCAATCTCTATCAGATAGGATAGTTAAAGTGGAAATCTGAGAGATGAAATTTTAAGTCTTAAGAAAAATTGCCAAGGGGGTGCTTGATACTTTTTTTCGACGATTTTCAAAAATTCATATCTCTTAAACTAAAAGAGATAGCTACCAACGAATTGTTGATTATGAAAGATTGGAAGATTCTCTATCAGATAAAAATATAAAATAATTATATTTCCTACAGTAAAAGGTCGAAAACGCGACTAAAAGTGCTAAAAGTGACATTTTGCAATTTTTGCCCATTTTATTCAATCGCGAATATCTCGTAAACTAAAAGAGATAATTAAGATCCGATCGCAGCGTCTTAATCTACGGACCAATCTCTATCAGATAGGCTAGTTAAAGTGGAAATCTGAGAGATGAAATTTTAAGTCTTAAGAAAAAATTGCCAAGGGGGGGTGCTTGATACTTTTTTTCGACGATTTTCAAAAATTCATATCTCTTAAACTAAAAGAGATAGCTACCAACGAATTGTTGATTATGAAAGATTGGAAGATTCTCTATCAGATAAAAATATAAAATAATTATATTTCCTACAGTAAAAGGTCGAAAAACGCGACTAAAAGTGCTAAAAAGTGACATTTTGCAATTTTTGCCCATTTTATTCAATCGCGAATATCTCGTAAACTAAAAGAGATAATTAAGATCTGATCGCAGCGTCTTAATCTACGGACCAATCTCTATCAGATAGGATAGTTAAAGTGGAAATCTGAGAGATGAAATTTTAAGTCTTAAGAAAAAATTGCCAAGGGGGGGTGCTTGATACTTTTTTTCGACGATTTTCAAAAATTCATATCTCTTAAACTAAAAGAGATAGCTACCAACGAATTGTTGATTATGAAAGATTGGAAGATTCTCTATCAGATAAAAATATAAAATAATTATATTTCCTACAGTAAAAGGTCGAAAACGCGACTAAAAGTGCTAAAAGTGACATTTTGCAATTTTTGCCCATTTTATTCAATCGCGAATATCTCGTAAACTAAAAGAGATAATTAAGATCTGATCGCAGCGTCTTAATCTACGGACCAATCTCTATCAGATAGGATAGTTAAAGTGGAAATCTGAGAGATGAAATTTTAAGTCTTAAGAAAAAATTGCCAAGGGGGGGTGCTTGATACTTTTTTTCGACGATTTTCAAAAATTCATATCTCTTAAACTAAAAGAGATAGCTACCAACGAATTGTTGATTATGAAAGATTGGAAGATTCTCTATCAGATAAAAATATAAAATAATTATATTTCCTACAGTAAAAGGTCGAAAAACGCGACTAAAAGTGCTAAAAAGTGACATTTTGCAATTTTTGCCCATTTTATTCAATCGCGAATATCTCGTAAACTAAAAGAGATAATTAAGATCTGATCGCAGCGTCTTAATCTACGGACCAATCTCTATCAGATAGGATAGTTAAAGTGGAAATCTGAGAGATGAAATTTTAAGTCTTAAGAAAAAATTGCCAAGGGGGGGTGCTTGATACTTTTTTTCGACGATTTTCAAAAATTCATATCTCTTAAACTAAAAGAGATAGCTACCAACGAATTGTTGATTATGAAAGATTGGAAGATTCTCTATCAGATAAAAATATAAAATAATTATATTTCCTACAGTAAAAGGTCGAAAAACGCGACTAAAAGTGCTAAAAAGTGACATTTTGCAATTTTTGCCCATTTTATTCAATCGCGAATATCTCGTAAACTAAAAGAGATAATTAAGATCTGATCGCAGCGTCTTAATCTACGGACCAATCTCTATCAGATAGGATAGTTAAAGTGGAAATCTGAGAGATGAAATTTTAAGTCTTAAGAAAAAATTGCCAAGGGGGGGTGCTTGATACTTTTTTTCGACGATTTTCAAAAATTCATATCTCTTAAACTAAAAGAGATAGCTACCAACGAATTGTTGATTATGAAAGATTGGAAGATTCTCTATCAGATAAAAATATAAAATAATTATATTTCCTACAGTAAAAGGTCGAAAAACGCGACTAAAAGTGCTAAAAAGTGACATTTTGCAATTTTTGCCCATTTTATTCAATCGCGAATATCTCGTAAACTAAAAGAGATAATTAAGATCTGATCGCAGCGTCTTAATCTACGGACCAATCTCTATAAGATAGGCTAGTTAAAGTGGAAATCTGAGAGATGAAATTTTAAGTCTTAAGAAAAATTGCCAAGGGGGTGCTTGATACTTTTTTCGACGATTTTCAAAAATTCATATCTCTTAAACTAAAAGAGATAGCTACCAACGAATTGTTGATTATGAAAGATTGGAAGATTCTCTATCAGATAAAAATATAAAATAATTATATTTCCTACAGTAAAAGGTCGAAAAACGCGACTAAAAGTGCTAAAAGTGACATTTTGCAATTTTGCCCATTTTATTCAATCGCGAATATCTCGTAAACTAAAAGAGATAATTAAGATCTGATCGCAGCGTCTTAATCTACGGACCAATCTCTATCAGATAGGATATTTAAAGTGGAAATCTGAGAGATGAAATTTTAAGTCTTAAGAAAAATTGCCAAGGGGGTGCTTGATACTTTTTTTCGACGATTTTCAAAAATTCATATCTCTTAAACTAAAAGAGATAGCTACCAACGAATTGTTGATTATGAAAGATTGGAAGATTCTCTATCAGATAAAAATATAAAATAATTATATTTCCTACAGTAAAAGGTCGAAAAACGCGACTAAAAGTGCTAAAAAGTGACATTTTGCAATTTTTGCCCATTTTATTCAATCGCGAATATCTCGTAAACTAAAAGAGATAATTAAGATCTGATCGCAGCGTCTTAATCTACGGACCAATCTCTATAAGATAGGCTAGTTAAAGTGGAAATCTGAGAGATGAAATTTTAAGTCTTAAGAAAAAATTGCCAAGGGGGGGTGCTTGATACTTTTTTTCGACGATTTTCAAAAATTCATATCTCTTAAACTAAAAGAGATAGCTACCAACGAATTGTTGATTATGAAAGATTGGAAGATTCTCTATCAGATAAAAATATAAAATAATTATATTTCCTACAGTAAAAGGTCGAAAACGCGACTAAAAGTGCTAAAAGTGACATTTTGCAATTTTTGCCCATTTTATTCAATCGCGAATATCTCGTAAACTAAAAGAGATAATTAAGATCTGATCGCAGCGTCTTAATCTACGGACCAATCTCTATCAGATAGGATATTTAAAGTGGAAATCTGAGAGATGAAATTTTAAGTCTTAAGAAAAAATTGCCAAGGGGGGGTGCTTGATACTTTTTTTCGACGATTTTCAAAAATTCATATCTCTTAAACTAAAAGAGATAGCTACCAACGAATTGTTGATTATGAAAGATTGGAAGATTCTCTATCAGATAAAAATATAAAATAATTATATTTCCTACAGTAAAAGGTCGAAAAACGCGACTAAAAGTGCTAAAAAGTGACATTTTGCAATTTTTGCCCATTTTATTCAATCGCGAATATCTCGTAAACTAAAAGAGATAATTAAGATCTGATCGCAGCGTCTTAATCTACGGACCAATCTCTATCAGATAGGATAGTTAAAACGGAAATCTGAGAGATGAAATTTTAAGTCTTAAGAAAAAATAGCCAAGGGGGGGTGCTTGATACTTTTTTTCGACGATTTTCAAAAATTCATATCTTTTAAACTAAAAGAGATAGCTACCAACGAATTGTTGATTATGAAAGATTGGAAAATTTTCAATCAGATAAAAATATAAAATAATTATATTTTTAACAGTAAAAGGTAAAAAACGCCACTAAAAGTACTAAAAAGTGACATTTTTCAATTTTTGCCCTTTTTATTCAATCGCGAATATCTCGTAAACTAAAAGAGATATTTAAGATATGATCGCAGCGTCTTAATCTACGGACTAATCTCTATCAGATAGGATAGTTAAAACCGAAATCTGAGAGATGAAATTTTAATACTTAAGAAAAAATTGCCAAGGGGGGGTGCTTGATAATTTTGTATGACAATTTTCGATAATTAATATCTCTTAAACTAAAAGACATAGCAACCATCGAATTTTTGATTATGAAAGATTGGAAAATTCTCTATCAGATAAAAATATAAAATAATTATATTTCCTACAGTAAAAGGTCGAAAAACGCGACTAAAAGTACTAAAAAGTAACATTTTTCAAGTTTTGACGGTTTATTTCAATCGTCAAATCGCCGAGTCTTAATCTACGGATAAATCTCTATATGACAAGACAGTTAAATTGGAAATCTTGATAATATTTATCGAAGGTGCCCTGAACACGAGTCACTTTTACCGCTGCCCTTGTACGGAGACCTGAACACGAGTCACTTCTACTGCTACTTTCATACGGTGCTGTGAACACGAGTCACTTCTACAGCTGCCCTTGTACGGTGCCCTGAACACGAGTCACTTCTACCGCTACCCTCATACGCTGCCCTAAACCCGATTCACTTCAACCACTGCCCTTGTACGGTGCCCTGAACACGAGTCACTTCTACCGCTGCCCATGTACGGTGCCCAGAACACGAGTCACTTCTACCACTGCCCTTGTACGGTGCCCGGAACACGAGTCTCTTCTACCGCTGCCTTTGTGCGGTGCCCTTAACAAGAGTTATTTCTACCGCTACCCTCGTACAGTGCCCAGAATACAAGGCACTTCTATCGACACCCTTCCACTGTTAAACCGAATGAGACTCAACTATACAATTGCTATTAATTGCAATATAACTAAATATAACGCTTCATATATATGAGTCAATAAACGATAATAGTGCATCTCTTTTAAACTAAAAGCGATAGCGACCAACGGATTGAAAGTTATGAAAGTTTGGAAAATTCTGCATTAGCTAAGAATTTAAAAACGTGACTGAAAGTGCATTTTTTCTGTTTTGCCCTTTTTCTATGAATTGCGAATATCTCCTAATTTTTGCTATTTTTTTGTGTTTGCTATTTAAGAGCGATCAGCCAGGCCCCGGGGAATTTACCCCAGTTGACCCCACCCTCTCTCTCTCAACGGCCCTGTTTGCAATGGCATGTGCAGAATTTTATAAACTTTGGCAAAGAAGAAATATCCAAGCTTTGCGTTACCATGTTTGAACTAGTTGCAGCTTTCAACCTAAAGATGGCACAGTGCATGACAATTCAGAATATATTTGTTGCCCATCCACGCATGTTAACTGTTCGTATACAATCACTATAACTTCTACATAATTTGCCCGATGCAAAAACTGAATATTGAAAACGATAATTATTTTACGCATTTTCGGTAATTTAATCGAGTAAACAAATACCACAAACATATATTACAAACAATAGTAATTAACGTGAATAAACCAACCTAACGTCTACGACTCCGTTGCTTATATTTTTCGTTAATTAAGATTAGAAATCACATTTCGTTAAAATATGCACACATGTGTGCAATTTCATGTGTTAAAGTGAAGCATTTAGCACACGAAAATGAATATTAATTGTGGGAAATACGTTCGCATTGTCTCGCAGCAGCGGCGAACTAGATGCACAGTTATTTATGATTATTATTGCTATTAAAAAGAATATAATGTATTATAAAAAGGCAAAATCGACGCAGAGCAGAACAGTCGCGTCGCGTTAATTTTGTATAGTTTATAGGTCAAAGTTTCTTTTACCGTTTTTTGTTTTATTTCGTTACACCACGCAAGCAGAGACCATTTTCAAAGTAATTTAAAGTAATGCAAAGTAATGTAAAGCAATGCTGAACAATTCAAAATGCAAACGATTTGGTTTTTTAACTGAAACACGGGGGCTCAACGTTTTGTCAAAATAAATGAGCTAGCAAAAAGTGATGAAAAATGACAAAAAAACATCACTTAAGTCGCGAATGTTTACTCTTTTCTTGACGGGGTAGACAAAAAGTGGTTTTGGCCAACAAATAAAAAATTAAGTCAAGTTGTCCCTTTTATCATTCAGTTCGGCGTTTGTAGGACTTGGACGTGCAAGACATCAATCACAATTTGGATTTTGGAATCAAGTTAACTTTTTTAACTTTTTTTTAAAGTAGAAGTGTTTTGGTCATTTTCCATTCAAAATGTTTCGTTACTAATTGGAATCTATTCCAAATCTAATTTATAGAAAAATACTTCATGTACTTACCCAAATATCGATAAACAGCAGCCACGATCAAATAAACTCGGCATGATTTATTTGCATGATCGTTTTATCGCATCTCTTGAATCATACGATATGAAAAGAAATAAAATCTAAACATTGGTACGATCGCAAACTGTCTTCGTTTCAGCAATGCTCCTGCAGCGGCAGACTTTGATTTGCATATTGCCGGCTAATATGGTAATGGCGCTTTTTTGGTCGGTCAGTTTCAGCAGCTTTCTTTCGTGACGGCCGGTCGGCCGGCATTTCTGCTGAACGCCAACGACACCGCAAAAAACGTTTCGTTTGCAGTCGACAGCAAAAGCGCCGTGTAGAAAAACATCTGAAGTTATCCGAGAGCAGAAGTCAACCTGAAACCAAAATTAATAAATTAACTTTTTAAACAAACGTTTAAAATCTCTTGTTTTTATTTTCAGTTTTTAAGGCTGCTTATTTTTGACTGATTTCAAAGAATTCGATCATTCGATGGCCGTGCATTGTTAAAACGCGAGCGTGCGACACGATTATTAAACATTCGTCGGCGGTGGCGAAAATAATGAGTAATTATCGAATAATTAGCGCAATTTTGACTCATAAGCATGCTATAGGCAAACAGCCGTCACACTAATCACCTTTATATCTGGTTGATTTGTGTGTTATTGTGTATTATGATTATGCAAAACAAGTTTTCACCTAATACCTTTCGGCACGTGCGCAAAATTAATTATTATTATTATTATTATCGAACCCAAACATCAAGTAATAAAGTTTTAGCATGGTAATAAGCAGAAATCTGTAAAAAAAGATTGAAATGATATAATTCCCCATTGCTAACACGATGTAAACAAAGGCGGTGACAGAATAAGTGCACTTAGACACTGAAGAAGCTTTGCGAGCGCGTGCAAATGTATGAATAAAGAATCCCATTGCATTGTCATGACCTACATATCGGACATCAATCAATCAGTACACGGCTCGCGGTCGGCGGCTGATGGAGACAGTGGAATTTGACTCAACTGGCGAATTACTCACTCGTTACTTATTTACTTCGTCGGCGACGGCGGTACGGCGACGCGCACTTGAACCACCGGGAGCCTGCGCGCCTAATGGGAGCGCGCGCGCAAACTTGGCGGCGTAATGAGAGATGATCGAGCGCAAACAATGAGTATTGTGTTGCGTTCCTGGCCGGTGACTTGGGCACAAGTGCAAGTGACAATTGGGTTTTTGTGCGGACGCGCGGTGTCGCTGCCGATGCCGTTCAGCGTGTCCTGTCGGCGCTGCGCGCGGAGGTCCACCTCTCGGCTTCAGGAAGCCCTCCGCCAGCCGAAGAGATAGTGCTGACCGCACGTGACAGGCATAAGTTAGACGGCCGGTCGGCGGCATTCCAGCGAGCCGCAGCCCTGTCACCGATAGCTTTGTGTAGGCCGCCGGAACGAAGCAGGCACGGATCAACAAAAATTTGAAAAACACGAAAAACCCACGAAAATATTGAAATACAATAATTGAAAAACAAAAAACGCAAAATACGAAATAAAATTTAAACCTAAGACAAGAACAAACCTAAAAACTGCTTGAGTTTGAATCTAAAAATACGTAAATATCAACAATTCTGAAATTACACGCCTGCATTTGTTTGTATTCGATATATTCCGTTGAAATAAACTGGCTTGCGGATTTGTGTTGAGCTTTCCTCGTACCTGCTGGTCCTTGTTCGGTGCTCCTGCCAGCTTCGCTGAAACTTTGCGACGGTCGAATAAGTTAAAGCGGCGGCATTCTGACCGTGAATTCGGCGTTGAATCTCCGCCGCGCAGCGCTGCGCTATCAAGATACATGCATGCGCTTACCGTTAATTAATTGCTCTTGATTGGATTACACTATTCGCCGTGCTTCTTTAAGTAGCTGGTTGTTTAACAACTGTAGATACCAGCGCAAGCTCTTTTAAACATATTTATGCGTTCACTTTCTGTTCGTGTCATTTTGACTTTACGCTTTTTGCACTTCAGTCACAAGCAGTTTTACTCTATACTTAACTTAAATTGTTTAGATACCATAAAATTCACTTTCGCGACATTAGATTAAGAAAAAGTTTATACAGATCTCTCTTAAACGAACGCTTTTCTAATAATTTTAGACTTTTTTACTTGAATTGTAGACATAAAGAACCAAAAAAACACAAAAATTGTCATTATAAAACTGCATTCACTACAATTATGTAGTTACAGTAATTATGCATGGTTTGAATTTACATGTATGTAAATGAAATTCAAATAAGAACATTTTGGTGACCACCCATGACGAATTGCAACGCACCCCCAAATGAACAACACAGCCCGATAATAATGTAATTAATAAATGATACGTTTGTCGTGAGTGATGCGTTCAACACCCGCATTGGCATTGTTCTGTCCTCAGGCGTCGTGTTTCTTCATTTGCTGGGTCGGGAGGTGCGCGGGCGACGGCGCTAATGGCACGGCAATTTCGAATATTACAGGGTTCGGCGTCGAATGTAAAACGCCGATTGTTTAAAGGTGCAAGATTCGACAGCAATTATGTCGATTGTTCTAATCGGTGAGCAATTGAACTGGAATCACCAGACAATTAGAGGTATTACTGTGGGTCACAGACCACGCATTTCTTTATTTATTTGCTTACATGCAAGAATCCACTCGAAGTAAACGTGAGTGCCAACTTTGTGCCAAATTACAATTTATTTCTAGAGATATTCAATTGTCCACGAAAATAACTGTAGAAATAGAAACATTTAATTAATTTAACAATGACAAGTTCAACGGAAGCTATATATAGATTTAATGTGCAAATTAACTGTTAATGGTAATTAAAGTTTCTAAATGAATTGGGTGTAAATTATGTCCAAAAACATTAAATTTGCATTTTATTACTTTCAAAGTAGTAAAACCATTGATATGGCAAAGATTTATTGATATTTTCTTTGCTGACTCCAAATTTTATCACACTTTTCAAACAATTTAAGAAAAAATGTTTTTCTTCAACAATGTATTCTCTGTTTCAAAGTTTTTCACTGTATTCAATGTTTTCACAGAAAGATAAATTTAAGATTGCCGGTGTGAGCAACTGCATTGAAATCCAATAAATATAAAATATAGATAAATTGACACCCGGATTAGAATAGTAGTAGGCCTCATTTGGCAGTCGATGGGAAACGATATTCACGGTAATTACCTGCGCCTGGAGTGATAGCCGCGCGGAATAGCTACGTGCGCGCGTATCGCGCCTGCAAACGCAATGCAAAAGCATCGATAAGAACGAGGAAATCCAAAGGCGAGAAAATGTTAATGCCGCACGTCAATCAACAATGACCATACGCAGTTCAGCTGCTGCACCACGCCGTACGCGCTTTCTCGCCCGCTCCGTCGCCTGCACACGTTTATTTGCAATGCGTATGCGATAGGAGCTGCCCGACGCGCATAAGTTAGAGTAACAACGGCGTTTGTTCAAATATGGTGCGGTTTAACGCGTGCAATTTACATTTTAAAGTTTTGCATGCGTCGTGTTTACAATATGGGCGAGCGCGCTGGATGGCAGTAAATGAAAGCGGGATGGCTGCGGTGGCAGCGGCGTAACACGGTAGCGGCGAGTGGTAACGACGCGCGGAGAGACGATTTGCAACCGATGCTGCGGCAGGGTCTGCCTATGGAAAATTTTACTGTATCAGCATCTTAAGTAGTATCGGAGGTGTACAGAGCAAAGCATACGAAGCAAAAGGTGGCAATATTTTGCGATGCATTTTAGAAAAATAAAAATTGCATGTGAATTTTAAATATCTGAAATTTATTATTACTCCGCGTTGTAGTAAAAAAAATATGGTGGCAGCGCTATCCAAAACTATCAACTTTTAGAAAGTAAACATAATTTACGTATGTTTTATGATTTAACCAAATGTATTTTTAAAGCACGACTTGTTGCATGAGTCGATGTGCATGTGACATTTAAACCAACGCACAGTATAAGCGTTTGTTTCGCCATGCGACCGTCCTCCGACGATATCGGCAATACGTTATGGCGAGCGCGGTCTTTCTTCAAGGGCTGCCTCGGCCACTATCAACAAATAAAGAGTATGCGGGCGCGCGCGCGCATACACACGCAAGCACACACACACACACACAGGAGAAGAAAACTGCTCTCTGCGCGCGGCCCGACTCGGCCGGTACTTTACATCGAAGAAATACTACTGATACGGTCACGTATGGTAATTAGATTAACAGATTTATATGTTGGATAATAATATACTCGGGGCATGCTACTTGCGCTCTTGTTGAGCGCCGAACAGCCGGGACATTATTTTGCCAACATAGAAAAAAAATCGCGAGCCGGCGGCCGCGCGTTTCGCAACCGCGAGCACCGCGAAGAGATACCTTTCGAGCGCGCCGAAGAGCTCGAGTGGCGTGGAGTTTACGAGCGCGCTCAACGCGCCGCCCCGACTTTTTCCCGATTATATTTATTAACAGTAATATGGTAAAGCTTTTGCGCGTGGATAAATCGAGTTGGGCAGCCACGTTTTGCGGACGTGTGCGATGAACATTCAACGCGCCGCACTTGCTTTCAGATTAGAGTCAAATTAGTTAATTATTTATACCTATTCGTTATCGCCATCGTTGATCTCTGCCATTGCGATCAATGCGCAAGCTGCGACGCATTGAGCAACTTTAATATCAAAGGCGATAAGTGAAAGTGGATATTGTTAATGTTTTACACATTTGTACATTGCACTTGTTTATGTGGAGAGAAAACTTCACACATATTTGGATCATTTCCTGGAATAAATTAATAAACAAACGTAAAACTATGCTAAGAAAATCAAAATTTTACTTAACAATGTCCCTCACTTAAATTATCGTCAAAAAATTGTTTTTCTTTATTTTTAGACACAAAATTAACAAAAAACAATTTGAATGCATTCAAAAGTATGTGAATTTAAATGTGTGTAGATTGTGTGGTCTATTGATTGAACAATCGCCATAGAAATTTAGTTAAACTTGAAAACCGTTTAGTTATATTGTTATAACTAATAGTTAAAGGTTTATCAAAGATGTACAGCATGCATTATGTAAATGAGCACGTGCCATTCGCGATGCACAGCTTGATGGCATGATGGTCCTTATTAAAAGGGCCCACGTACAATTCGAACGACTTGAAGACACTTGGCAAACAAAGCCCAAAAGCTGCGCACCAAAGTTACCGCGTCTTAAAATAAACAATTGAATTGTTTTCGTTTTACACGATTATCGCCAGTTGAATTGTTAATTCGAGTGCTGATAATATATTCACCATACGCGCAGCACACGAGCGCGCGAACGTGCAATCACCATCGGCGCTTCGACGACACCCCAAA